TCCATATCTCCACCAAGAATAAGCATCAAGAAATGGCGCGGCGCGGAGCTGGGGCTTTCCCGGAGTTTGCTCATCGCGGAGAAGTCGGTGCAGCTTGGTGACGGGATACTGCCTGGATGCGTATGCCACATGCCAATGAAACTCACTGAGCCGCGTGTCCGCGCGCGCTTTTCCTCCGATAGCTCTTTCGTCCCAGCGACGCCGCAGAGGAAACCTTCCGCTGAGGCACGACTATCCGGCGGGGGCCCGCTTACCTCCGTTACCCATGCGATCTTGAGAAACTCGTCAAACTGGCCGAACAGAAGGCCTCCCGTTTCGACCCTCGGCCCGCGTAGGCGCCTGGACGAGCGAATCCAGCCGAGGAGATCTCGTTCAGCGCCCGGCGTGCAACGGATGTGGAAGCCGTGGCGATGGTCCGTGATGACACGATCCGCTGGCCAAGCAAATTGCACGATGGCGGGCCGTTGAGGCCTGATGGTGTGCGGCGCTCGTATGAGACAGCAGCGAGCGCTCGTCGTCGGCTCTGCCAGCCAGCTACTTGCGACATTCAATAGCCCAGCCGATAGACCTTGGACGTCTGCAGCGGAGCCTACAAACGTGGGGTCCGAACATCCGGGTTCGGGTTGGAAGAGTTTGTGGCGCTGCCCCGGAAGCGGCCAGAACTCGTCGAGGAAGTCCTGCCCATTGCTTGCATTCGCAAGCGCTATTTTCGTGCGCCGCTCAAGGTCCTGCGCAACCCCTGCGACACCGTGGATGCCCAGGGTGACCATTCCCACGTCACATTTGTGGCCGACTGCCATCGACACGATCGGCGGATGGAGTTTTGTCTCATTCGAGAGATGTTTTTCAAGCGCCGCTGCGACAGCTACCGATGCCGTCGCGTTTACGATCACGTCGCAGTCAAAGAGCTTATCGGCTTCCGTACGGAGTGCATGAACGACGTTGATGGGACGGTCAACGACCTCGATGGCAGGATTGACGGCCTCCACGTTCCGAAACGTTGCGGATGACTTGGTGTAGCCAATTTGATGGCGCTGAAAGTTCTGTCTGCTGAGCACGCCGGGCGCTACGCCGGCTCGATCATAGAGCCTCAGGTGCGCAATGCCCGCCCGAGCAAGCATTAGCGCTACGGCGCTACCGAGTGCACCGCACCCGAGAATGGTGACGCGCTTGGATCGCCACCAGGCAAGCGGTGAACCAAGGTCCCGCGGTACTACAATTTCGGGTCGATCCTCCCGGACCCTGCACCATTCGACTTGGGTGTCACCAGCCCAGGCATCGAAGTCGCTGGCACGCGCTTTCGCATCTGTCTGGTCCTTGCCTGCCAGTTCCCTCAAAGACGCCGCGCGCTCGGGGCTGATGTACCAGCAAGCGAGATGTTGCTTTCGATCGATTTCACCAGCAACGCCTCGCATAGCCGCGCCGAGGAGCACATAGAGCGCCTTGCCTTCGGGTGCGCGCAGCGCCGTGAGCTCGAGTACCACGCGCAGCAAGTCAACCGTGACCGCCCGCTCTACCAATGTCTCCGCGAGCGTGCGGAACGTACTGGGATACTCAAACGGCATATCGGTCGGGAGGAGGATGGCACT